AGTATTTAAGTATAAGTTTTATGTGTTCTATGATATATATAGGTCTGGCCAGAATAAGTGTTTGAGTATGTTTAATGGTGTATTTTTATGAAATATCCTATTTTTGAGTGTAAAATATTTGTTTCCTAGGTTATGCATTCATCTGGTCGTTAGTTTCCTTCTACAAGGCCCTGGATTCTGTTCTATTACTTTGATGTCATTCATAGAGTTTAAAACTTGTTATCTTAGATTTTCAGTAAAATTTGATGTCATTCATAGAGTTAAAAAAAATGTCATTGATCGTTAGTTTCCTTCTACAAGGCCCTGGATTCTGTTCTATTACTTTGATGTCATTCATAGAGTTTAGAACTTGTTATCTTAGATTTTCAGTAAAATAGGAATCATCAGTATTGTTTACTTTAACCGTTGTGCAACAATATCATTATTATTACAATCATTATTGTCATCATTAACATCACCATCATCATTATCATCATTGTCTTCATCACCATTATGATTACCATTATCATTATCATCATTAACATCGCCACCATCATCACCATTATCATCAGTCATCATCACTATCGCCATCATTATCACTATCATCACCATTAATATCATTATCACCATCATCACTTTTATCATCACTATTATCATCATTAACATCACTATCATCATTATCATCAGCAGCATCACTGTCATCATTAACATCAATATCATTATCATCACCATCAATATCACCTCTATCATCACTATAACAATCACCATTATCACTATCATCATCATCACAATCATTATCACTATCATCATCACCATCATTATCACTATCATTATCATTATTACCATCATCATCCCCATAAGAATTACCATCATCAGCATCACCATTTTCACAATCATAATCATTATCACTATCATCACCATCATTATCACTATCATTATCATTATTACTATCATCATCACCTCAACTATCACCATCATCTTGCATTATCGCCAAAATTATTATCACTATCACCATCATCATCATCGCCATCATTATCATCACTATCACCATGGCACCATCATCGCCATCATCATTATCATCATCTCCATCATCACCATCACTATCATCAATACCAGTATCATCACCATCATCACCACCACCATCATCATCATCATCACCATCACCACCATCACTAGCATCATCTCCATCATCATCATCACCATCACCACCATCATCACCACCACCATCATCATCATCATCACCATCACCACCATCACTAGCATCATCTCCATCATCATCATCACCATCACCACCATCATCACAGCCCCTGCCCATTTCCGCTCTAATGGCTATTACCCTGTCTTGCGCACAGCATCTTGGGCGGGCGAGTATTGCCTCGGGGAAAATATGGCCTAATGAGTTTGGGTTGTGATGGCGTGTGATTTTTCTTTTTTTTTCATCTATTTCTTCAAAGTGTACCAGTTCCTCTCTCCGTTTTTACCTCACTTGTTCCATAAGGAGAATCAGGGACTACGATATACCGTGGTTATTGTGATTGATGTAAATAGTGTAGTGTGTGTAATGTATATATTTTGTAAGGTATGTGATGTATAAAGTCATCTATAACTTCATTAGCGTACAATGTGTATAGTGCATGCTGTAATTATTCACGATTGAAATAGCGTATACTGTAGCTGGCCAGATGGATTGTTTCAGTGCGCCTATTTCTCAGGCTGACTGCTTTTATCCATTCGCTTTCGCATTTCCCCGAAGCAGTAACTCAAAAGAATGCGGAGCCATAAAAGCATCAATGCACGAAGTAAAGAAAATTAGACGACGCATCAAAAGCGCATCGAACAAAAGATATTTATCGCTCCCAGAGTAAAGAAAGCAAGTTTACTGAAAGTGAATATCCAATAGTGATATTGCTGGGAAAGCACAGGACACAATACCTATAAATCTAGCCCTGGAAAAAGGCATCAGTTCCCGCAAAATGATGTTTCAATATTACCAGCCATTAAGAGGAGGGTCGCCCGTCTTTAAGCACTGTGTATTTTCGGTCTTTATTGCGAGTGTTTTAAGGCGGCTTTCTTAATTCACTCGCCTCTGCACATGCACAGAGCGCTCTGGCGCGGACCCACGTCAGCCTTGCCCTTATACCAAATGAACAATCAAGCTTGAACAAAAGTATTTGTTAATCTTTGTCTGTGGAGGGACGGATTCGGATATCGAGCGGTATAGTGAAAGCAGTAAGACTTCTTTCAAAGCCAGCTTACATAAGCACAAATACCTAACGACTAGCAAAGTTCTTACTGCGTCTGTGCCTCTGCGAAAGCCTTAGCGTGAGGCAACGTCTTTTTCTCTCCAGCGCCCCTTAAATTCACTTTTCGTTTTGGGTTCTTGCTAAGGAGCTTATGCCTTCCCCGGCCGTTGCGAATGCACGGCTCCCTTACTGACCTTGTGGCCGTCGATGTCCCAGCTGAGAGTGGTGGGCGGGTACGAGAAGGTGGAGGAGCAGTTGAGCAGCAGGAGGTCGCCGAC